TTCTTCCAGAACCGGGGATTGAACTCAGGCCCTTGCACTTGCCAGGGAAGCGCTTATTCTACTGAGCCATCTCCCTGGCCCCTCTTGCTTCTCTTTAATTTTTTAAAAAATTTATTTATTTATTTATTGGCACAAGGCCTCACTAGGCAGCTCAGACTTGTAGTGATCCTCCTGTCTCAGCCTCCCCACTGCTGGAATTACAGGTGTGAGCCACCAAGCTCATTTTCGGTTGCCAGCATGGTGCACCCGGGGTTCTGGGGCCAGCACAGCATGTGGTACTTGGAATTGAAACTGGGTCCTTGTGCTTGCCAGGCAGGCGTTAGACCACTGAGCGATGTCCCCGGCCTTTGCTTCTCCTTTTGGTAACAAGGAACTTATTGCCTTGTACATTGATCTAAAGCACATAGATGCGGTGCCTTTGCTAGCCATCATTTCCTAGAACCCACAGATAACACGGGTCTCCTCATGCCACTAGCTCCTCATCTAACAATGTGGTGGTCAATGTTATTCTTTTTTAAAATCAGACAATGAAAGAGCATTACAGGAAAAGGAAGGCATTTATTAGAGCTGAAGATTATGTAATTCATACAGTGCTTTTCTTCACTGGAACTTGTCTTCCTTCACTTTGCTGTTAACAGACAGAAAGGAGGGAAGGTTAGATGTAATTGCAGGCCTCTCCATCCCTGCACAGGCTCCTGGGACCCGGGGTTCTTGGGGGCACATCTAAGATGGCATGGGAGACCAACGCAAGCGTGCAAGGCAACAAGTTCCGTGAATGAAGAAAGGAACGGGAAATGCCTACAGGGAAAGAGGTAGTCAAGTCCAGAGGACACAGACACGGCCTCGGGAAGGAAGCTCACATCCCACAAAGCAAAGGATCAGCGGGACCACCAAGGAAAGGCTCCAGCTCAGTGTTGGGTGGCTGGTCTTGTGATACAAGGGTAGGAGGAAGGACAGGAGAAGCTGGCCACAGCTGTGTGCACGGCACTGGGGGTGGGACCATCCATCCATCCATCCATCCATCCATCCATCCATCCATCCATCAATCCATTAAGTCATCAGTTCATCCATTCAATAACATCAGAACAGGGAATATTAATTGGAGGCTACAAAGACCAAAATGATATGATCCTGAACTCAAGAAAACGCGCACACACACGCACACACACACACACACACACACACACCCCTCTGTGGAGAAGACAGAGGTGCTTAGAGTACAGTGTGCTAAGGCAATTACTTTGCTCCTGAAACTCCAAGAACAGAGACTCCTGAAAGAGATCAGTGAGCTGCACGTGGTGGGCTCGGCATGGGGCTGCCTCCCAGCAGCAGGGGCCAGGGGGTGAAGGTGAGACCCCTAGAGCACTGGCAGGAGCAGCTCTGGAGACCCCTGGCATGGCCCAGGAGGCAGAGGAAGAAGGGTACAGCGCTGGGGCCCTCATGAGACCCTAGCATGGGGCAATGGAGGGTGTTCCTGTGCCTCGCTGCTTGGGAGCTGAGACACCATCCTCCGGAAGAGCTGCTAAAGACCTGTGTTAGGAAGCTCCGGCACCAGAGCCTCTCAGGAGAGCAGGATAAAGAAAGCAGAAGAACCATCTTTGGGATGGAATGGCTGGCAGTGCAGAGAGAAGGCAGAGCATGTCACTGGAAAGGTCAGCAGGACACGGTGATCCCTGCATGAAGAAGGAGAAGAGGCTGGAGATGAACATGCTCCAGGCCTGAGGAACCAGAGAGGTGAGCTGGACGTGGGGCGAAGGGCAAGTACAGGGAGGAGTTCCATGCTGGCTTGGTGTGGAACATTCCAGTGGAGGTGTCAGCAAGCTGTGGTTTACTCAAGCCTGGAGTCCAAGGCAGTGGGATGGGAGAATTCCTAGACGTATGAGCACCACAGCCCTGAGGAAGCCTGGGGTCACCTAAGAGAGGGAGGATGCAGAGCGGAGGGAAAGCCAGCCAGGTGCAGACCCTGGTAACCTCGTCCTGTCAGGAAGGGGAGGTTGAAGAGCAATGCCTGAAGAGTAGGCACAGGGCTTGGCCCTGAGCCATGAGACCTCAGTGGCAGAGGATTTCAGGAAAGAAGTGGCCTTGGTACCCAAAGTGGCCATGGAGTTCCATAGGAAGGGGGTGGCCATGGGGACTGGAAGACGGCCATGGCACTGTTACCAGGTGGACTTCTGCAGTGTATGAAGAGAGACCAGTGGGGTCAGGGAGGCCAGCAATGCAGAGTTCTCTTTGAAATTTGGGCTGAAACAGGAATAAGAGACATCAAGTGAAGCTAGGGACACCTGTTGTACAATCAGTCCTAGTCACTGCGGGCTTCTGGTCTTGGGGATTCACCCACTCTCTAGCACTTATTTTTGAGTCCCAAAGCAGCATTCCTGGTGCCTTCTCCCTCTTTCTGGGGCCAGTAGAGAGGTTAAAAAAATAAATCATCCTGTCCACACATCCACAACCAAGACCAAATAAGGCCTTCTTGTTTCAGGTTTTGTCCTGCAAACAAGTATCCTTTTCAAGGTCCAGCCAGTGTGACTTTTTTGGGTACTTTCTGTTGATAGTTCATTATTTAAAATGGTCTCCACATACAGTCCCCCTCATGTCCCTAGAAGGCTGTGACATGCATTACAGAGACGTCAATAGGATGTCAATGAGCTCCTTTCAGGCCTGAGTTCTAACTCCCCGTCAGCCATGAATTCAACATCAGTGAATCAACAAAGTACACTAAATAAGGCATCTGTGCAGAACACGTGGAAAGCAAAGTCCTATCCTGAGCTCTGTGGAGCGTGTTGTGACCAGAGGCTCACAGGCACCCAAACTGGTGCTTCTTGGAGGAGTCAGGGCTCGATATCCACATGTGTGGTGTTCGCAGCATTTATGGACCACAGCAGGCATCATGGGATTCGACTGCTCTCAGGAAGTGACTGACAGGGCCTGAGCGTCACAGTGAGGTCTTAATATGCTGGGCTGCCTGTGGCCGGCTTTCTGCCTCTGGAGCTGAAGGTGGGACTTTGCCTCTTGCTGGAGTCCCAGGCTCCCTTCCACAGGTTCGACGCCATTGGAGGGCATGAGCAGGAGATCCCGCTAGTAGGGCTGATTTCTGAGTTATTGAGTCACTCTGCAGGCTGACCAAAGTGGCCAGCCACAAGGCCATGGTAGATCCATTATCAGGTCTTCCAGAGCCCTTCCTTCTATTGTTTTTGCTATGTTTGCCAAGCTAGGGATTGAGCCAGGGACTCCTGCATATGGGGCAATTGCGGTACCACTAAGCCATGCCCCAGTCCCAGCCTTAGTGAGTCCCTACCTTGTTCCATGTTACAAGTGACAGATGTGCCTTAAACAAATAGTGCCTGAGGTTTTGGGTGCTGGTGTTGTCTTCTCAACATGGTGCTGTTAGCCTCACAAGAAAAACAGTGTGGCCTTGGAAGCAGGTGGCGGGAGGCTGGTCTAAACCCTAACACTGCCTCCGGGAGCAGGTGCTCCTCCCTATGTACTGCTGCTTTATCATCAGTAAGACAGAGGGATGATATTGCAGCTTCCAGGGCCTGTTACACGGCCAGCCTAAGGCAGCAGTGCACATACGGGACACAAACAGACTAGGAGCCTTAGGAGGTCAGGGTCTTCCTGGGCGCAGGGCCCAGAGCCAGATGAGCATTTGATGAACATTTATGGAACACACAGAGACTTTCCCGGGTTGAGTCTTCCCATTATGTACCAGTTGGCCCAAGGTTTCAGTCAGAACTGGTCCTTTGCTACTGTTGGATAGTTTAGTAATTCCATTCCCAGGGCTGGGGAGATAGATCAATGGAATAAGTGCCTGTCTGGCAAGTACAAGGTCCTGAGTTCAATCTCTGGTACCACAAAAAAATACACACACACACACACACACACACACACACACACAGAGCAGCCAGGGTTCAATCTCCGCCGTGCCAGGGGCATGCAGAGGTGGTGACTGAGACTGGACGTGGTGGTGCCCGCCTGTAATCCCAGCACTTGCGAGTGTGAAAACAGTAAGATCACTGCAAGCTTGATCTATGTAGTAAGCACCTGTAGACCCTGTAGACCCTGTAGGCCCTGTAGGCCCTGTAGACCCTGTAGGCCCTGTAGGCCCTGTAGACCCTGTAGGCCCTGTAGGCCTTGTAGGCCCTGTAGGCCCTGACATGTATCATTAATACTTTTACTTGTTCTTAAGCTGAAATCACTGGAGTGACAAGGAATTCATCCTCAGTGGACAGAACACAGCAGGAAGCCTTCGGAGGCCCTGAGCCGAGAGGTCAAGGGGCTGCGATGACTGCCGCGGGAAGCAGAACAGCCTCAGAACTAGCCCTGCCAAGCCCAGGCCTTGTCATGGGACCGGTTCCAGCCTTACCAGCCTTGTTTTATGACTGTGGAAGACACAGCGTCAAAGCTTGCTTTGCTGAAGGCCATGGGAGGGCCTCCAGCCAATCAGCGGCCAGGCCAGGGTAGCTACATTTCTTCACTCTGTTCTGTCTTTAAAGACATGTAGTAGGCGATTGATTGCTTTGTAGGCATCAGTTGATGCATTTATACTGCGAAATGTGTGCACAGGTAGGCCTAGTGACACCGTTTGACTAATACACAATGCACAGCCAGCACCAGTTGAGAATTCTAATCTCTCTCCAGCCCCAGATGCTCTATAAAGCAAAGAAGATGATATTTATAAAGAAGGAAAATGATGAGTCTGTTTCTTCATAATGAGTAGTTTCTTGATCTCAGTGTGAGCGAGGCTTTATTTTTAGAGTGTACCACAGATTAAAATGAAATCAGTGTTTGCATCTTTCATCTAGTATGATCTCATTGGTGAATTTTCTATTTTTGTAAAATGTTAGTTGAATTCTTTCAAATTCCAGTGGTTAAAAATTAATTATGCTATGCTTAAATTTTTAGGAAAAGAATCCCGAGAGCCCAAAGTGAGAAATTTCATCATCCACTCAAAACTATTTGCCGATCCCTGAGGTACACAGGGTCCCCGGCAGGGGTAGAACCCTGGACCCACTGGTGGAGGAAGCACCCTGCTCACAGGAGCCTTCAGAGAGGAAGCAAGTGGCCCCGTGCCCTGGGATGAGGCTCTATGGAGGCCCAGGAGGGACATGCGCATGCTTTGGTGGTGGTGATTTGTGGGGTCAGGGTAGCCCTCTCAAGGAAGCAACAACCCAGCTACCAGTGGAGTAGTAAGGCAGAAGCAGCCAGGACAATCTGGGCGAGGCCCCACCAACGGGAGGAGCAGGGAGTACTTCAGTGCTGCTGGACCTGGGGGTGAGGCAAGCTGGAGAGACGAGCCTGGGGATGTGGCCACAGCTGGGTCACCTTGAGCAGCACCGGAGCACGTGGACTCTGCCCCGAAGGCATGCCATGCCACAGGAACAGTGAAGTATGCTGACACTCAAGCTCCATGAAGCACTCCTATGTGAGCGAGGAAAGCTATGCTCAGCGCAGCATCTATAGCTGCATCTTAAGTTCCTTTGAAAAGTACCCTTCTGATGTCCCTATAGACCTGGGAGTCCTCATAAAGCCACATTTGCTCCAGTATCTGGGAGCATCTGGGAATCTAGATGTTGGTGAGACTGATCCCGAGGACGGGTGCTACAGGTGGAGATCTACAGATCTAGACAAGGAAGCCAGGTCAGGCTGCACGGTGGGACAGACGTGAAGGGCGCTGTCATGCGCGGCCCTGTGTCTGACTTTCCACAACTCTGCATTCCTCCACGGGCAAAGCTAGCACCCGACGTCACGGTGAACAAGGATCAGAATATCCTGTGCTTAAGATAAAGCTGAAAACGGCATGCAAGCTGGGATCAGTACTGAGGCCAGGATGCAGTCAACGCTAGAGAAAGTATGTGGGCGATGCCAACCACATTGGACCGCTGGGATGCTCGGAAAAGACCAAGGATGAGGAAGAGTGAGCGATGCCCCCGTGGCTTTTAGCTGGAGCAAATCTGGTGGTGATGATGCCACCAGTCAAGAAAGGAGGCGTGGCAAAGAAGGGGTTGCAGTTCAGGAGCTCGGGGGGTGCAAGGCGGCGGGCAGGGACCTGAGGGCCTGCAGCTCAGGATAACATGTGGACAGAGACACATGTTGGAAGATTATGCACTGGTGACAGTTCACGTCGAACAAGTGTAGGAGATGACAAGTCATCCATATATTAGAGAAAGAATTGGGCTAAAGACATCGCACAGATGGTCACCAGTATTGAAATTACAGATCTAGACAAGGAAGCCAGGTCAGAGGTCAGTATCTGGGAGCATCTGGGGATCTAGATGTTGGTGAGACTGATCCCGAGGACAGGTGCTACAGGTGGAGATCTACAGATCTAGACAAGGAAGCCAGGTCAGGCTGCACGGTGGGACAGATGTGAAGGGCGCTGCCCTGCACGGCCCCGTGTCTGACTTTCCACAACTCTGCATTCCTCCATGGGCAAAGCTATAAAACCCAGCTTGCAAAGAGCAGGCAAGTGAATGGAAGGCAGGGAGGTTGAGGCAGCTGCTTCAGACCACAGCATGTGCAGGAGGCCAACAGGGAAGAACCGAGCAAAGGCAGGTGCAGGGATGCACAGAGCAGGGTCCAAGGAAGGGGTCGCTCTTTGTCCTTTGTTAGAGTGTGGACAGGCAATGATGTCAGTGGTGAGAGACACAAGCAGAGGGCTCAGGAGGCTGATGAGGGGTCCAACACAGCAGCTGGAGGTGGCAGAGGGGACTGGAGAGCGGGGTGGGGGTGAGCAGCACATGCCATGGCTTTGTGGGAGAACACACCTGTCAGCTGCTCCTGTACCTCCAGGGTCACTCAAGTCTGCCGTCCACCCTTCCTCGGTACCAGTAGGTGGGGGGCCTTCTGTGTGCAGGAGGAGAAGTCCTTCTTCGGAGCTCTGAAAATGGCAAGGGGGGCAGAGTCTCTCTTAGTCACATGACCCAGGACCACAGGGACCAGGAGACTACAGGTCACTGAGGGGATTCAGCCAGAATGGCTGGGCCCACGCTGCCGAGGCACATGGGCAGTGCTGTCCCCGGTCTTCCTCTCCCTCCCTGGCTGGGCCCCAGAGCTGATTTTCCCTATTCTGCATCACCACCCATGATTTGTCTCCGCCACTACTGCAAGCCCTCAAGGGCAGGAGCTGTCACATTTCTTCTTCAGTCCTCATGAGATCTGTCCAGAGTGTGTCACACATATTTGCTGACTTGAATTAAACTGGCACATTTCAGGCCGGCTCTGAAACAGCTGCACGCCTACACTGGTGAGGCTCCCAGATACCCCCTGTGGTCAGAACTCAGCTTGGAGCCACCTCCAGGGTCACACTGATTTGTGTCTGCGCAGCGTTTTTCATCACTAACTGCATTTGTGCGATGTCATAGCCTCCGGGTGCCTCCTGGGCTCACCCGCTGGGGCAGCCCCTTCTAAGCGCTGGGCATGGTCTGCAAGCTGCGATGGTCTGGCTCCTCCATGGGGCGTGGGAGACTGCCCCTTCTCCCTCCTGCTGTCACCAGGAAATCCAGCTGTCACATCTGGGAGACTTCCACATAGGATGCCCAGGGAGGACTGAGACCTTCAACAGCCCCTTGTGTGAGCCTGCAAGTGGGTCCCTGGCCCAGCCAGACTCTTGCTGGGACTGAAGCCCTGCCAACATCTTGTCTGCCACCTTGTTGCAACCAGCCTTCTTAGACGCTGACCTCTGTAATCTGTAAGCTAAATTGAGCCTGGGTTCTTGGCCGCCACTGAGATAACAAATAAATATTTCTTGTTTCAAGCTACTAGATCTTGGGCTATGCTGATGCAGGCAATAGACAGCTGGTGCACTCTCACTGGTCAGTCATCCAAATTATCAAATTTATTTCTACACTACTTTTGGCTATTGACACAATCAAACCCGAGGGGAGCTCTGTGTGCCCAGGACAGATTCAGGAAGGCTCGTGGCTTCTAAACACAACTCCAAGAGCCGTGCTCCAGAGAATGCTTTCAGAGGTGGTCACACTGACAGTAACTGTTTAGCTTCTCCAAGTGACAACTTGACAGAGGCATAAACCAGAGACCTTTCTTAAACTGAAGTTTCAGGTTGAACCTTAATACTGTGACAATGACCAGAGCTCCCTGAAACACTAAGTATCTGTGTGTCCATTGCCATGGAGGGTGTGGAACACAGAAAGGATTTCACGAGGCCCCTGGAGGGCACTGTGACAAACGCATGGCTGCAGAGTGACAGATCTGTCTGAAGTCCCGTCTCTGCCACTGGCTATCAAAGTCCCACATGGGCAGTGTGGCCCTGAGGAAGGTACAAGAGTTTGCAAAGCCTCATTTGCTACCCAGAAGGTGGGGAAGACACAGGTCTGGCTGGCAGGGAGGGGGAGGCCACAGGAGGAAACTGGTGGGCAATCAGGACGGGCGTCTGGTGGGGCCAGCCCACGCCCTGCATCCGCACCTGGTCAATCGTGCAGATTAAGCAAGGAAACTGATCTTCCACGGGAGGGAGGAAGTTTGGTTTCACCTGGCCATGAAATGCCATTGGCACACACTATTCAAAAAATGCTCCAGTTGGGGCTGGAAGGAAGCCTACTGCGGCAGCTTCTCTGAGCCGGACTTGGTGGTGCGGTGCGGTGCAGTGCGGTTCTGTTCTGTTCTGTTGTTCTGTTCTGTTCCATTCTGTTTTCTTTTGTAATGGGGCCTCACAACCTGAGGATCTTGCTGGAGTTTCTCCTGCCTCAACCCCTCAGAAGACTTGGTATTTTGTTTGGTTGTGGTAACATCTAAGTGAGTTAGTAACTCAGTTATCTTTTTAATGATTTGCCAAGCAACTTCACACGTTATTGATCTTTCTCATTTCACTTAAAATAGTTTGTATTTTAAGTGTCATGGTTTCAACACAGACTGGGCTCCTCAGAAAAGGGCCTACTGAAGGGAACAGTGACATACCAAGTGACCGATCGTAAAACTGTTCGTTTCTGGATTCCTCAGACATGAGACCTGTAACACAGTAACAGTCATAAAAGAAAGCTCCTCCACCCACTTCCAGAATATTCTGGGATTAAGTAATTGATGCCATAAATATCTCCTCCTCCTCCTCCTCCTCCTCGTCAACTCTCTCTGTAATTACTCATTAAGGTTTTCACAAAATAAAAAGCGGAAACATACGTGTCTACATCCATCATAAAACAGAATCAAATACATGGTGAACACACAGACATAACAACAGTTTTCATCTTAAAAAAATACAAGTAAAAAAAAAATACAAGTAAACAACAGTATTCGCCGTTCTACAGCATTCTTCTCAGTGCGTCGTACTTTAAAGGCTCTGGGTTGCAGCTGTGTGTTTGTGGGACCTGTCCCCGTGGTCAGGACACATCACCCACCAGCGACAAAGGGCTCTGTGGGTCCACTCCTGAAGGTGACACACAACCCAAGGAGCAGGCTTTGGAGGCAAAGTCACAGGAGACTACACGAGTTTGGCTGCTGTCGGTGCCCAAGGGAAGGTCCTCAGAGACCTACACCGGGCTCCACAGTCAGCGCGCTAACCCAGCACCACTGCAGCTGACAGTCTTACAAGCAGGACCAAGGGAGACCCCACCTGCTCCCTGCCATGAGGTGCAGAGGCCCAGGGGCCATCAGCTCTGGTTACGAGACTGAGGCGTCAACGAGTGCAGCCCAATTGGGCAGATGGGGCTGAGTCCTGCTCCTCCTCCTCCTCTTCTGCACACCACTGCAACCTGGGCCTCAGAACCTAGGGAGCGCACCAGGCAGGCACAGGTGCTCAGCTCAGCGCCCCACTTAGGGGGAAGCTGACTCTGCCCTGGCTGTGTGTACAGATGTCGGAGCCAGCAAATGGAATCGTGCACAGAAAAGCTGAGTGAAACTAAAGAAATGTCCAAATAAATAGTCATGTCATTACTGCAAAAGCAAAACAAAATGCTTATATTTATAATAACTGCAATGGTTCAAATGTAGTTTTAATTTTCCAGGAATTTCTATCTGTAACTGATTCACCAACAAAGGGCTGTACTATGAAATTGTTTCAAGGGGAATAAGCATAACAGAACAGATTTCAACTTACCAAGGAAATAATTGTTTCTCCATTTAGAGAATCTTCCCAGGTCCCCAAAAATCATCTAAAGAAATTTGGGCATCAATATTTATCAGCACATGGAAAAGAAGAAAAGAAATGTACTGCAAAAAAATGGCAAATATTACATAGAGTGTTTCGATACATATAAGGCATCTTAGTGAATAAGGGTGTATGGGGGGTGACTAAAACATACAGCCAATGTTTGAATATTTAGAACAGTTACACAGAAGACACATCGCCATGGTCTCCGTCAGAATACTACCCCTCATGTATCTCATCATTCCGCCCCTTTCTGAAGCAATTCTTGGGAGTCCTCTTGCTTTTGTGAGTGGCTGGTTTCACTGCCTTGGCTTCCTCCATGTACTGAATCTACTGAGGGAGTTCATTCTTCAATTATAGCTTTGGGGAAGACCCAGAAGGACACGACACCAAAGCAGAATGAAGAGACACTGTCATGTTTTTACTCAAGGGCAAGTGCCGTAAGTACTGAATCAATTGAGGACATGAGGCTACCATGAAAATACACTCACGGAGAAGGATTTCTAGAGCTGCTTCAGAAAGTGGCCAGAATGATGAGATGCGTGTGTCTGGAGTGACAGGGACCCTTGAAGAAGATTAACGGCAACGTGTCATTTACTGTAAGACATTTTAAAGAATGTTAACTACCCATCCTATTTTGTGATCATCTAGCAGGTAACTTCCTATGCTGTCACTCGCATGTGTTCCAGAAAGCACATGGGAAGACCAACTCGTGGAAGGGTTAGATCAACTCCAAAGTTTCCGGCGACAGAGCACACGCTTCCAAATGGTGTGGATCAGAAACAGAAATTTGGCTTATAAACCTGCAAAGCAACTGCGTTTGGGTGGAATCTTAGCATTTTCTATGACCTCTTGATTGTATCTTCAGTAGAACATGTGGCTTTCATGAAACCACTTACAGTGGATGCAGCAGGCACAGAGCTTGCTTGGCCCCAGCTTTCCTGCCCCACCCCTCTCCATCTGCAGGGGTCACGTGAGTCCTCTGGGCCCATCATGATGACCGGCCCGAGAGGGGGCACGTGCCAAGACAACTCAGTGATGAGTGAGCAGTCTTTACAACGAATAATGTCGCTGTGACTGCAGACCACATGAAACTGAATGACCTGGGGCCCTGGCCTCTCAGTTAAATGGAATGGATGGTAAATGGAAGACTCACTCAAAAAGGAAGGGAAAACACTGGACTTAACAAAGGGCGTCCTCAAATGAAATGGCACACAAAGTGGGAGGAAACACCTACAAATAACTCAGGAAGAAGAAAGTAACTCAGTTAAACACGAGGAAAGGAACTGAATAGGATTTCTCCAAAGAAGACACAGATTTTCCTCATTTAATGACCTACTTATTTAACAACTGTTCAGGCTCATAATTCATCTTTTTTAGTATAATTCTGCCCATCTTGCTTATAAAGACTCAATGTCTGTTTTGGTACAGTATACCTAGTTTATACACTAGTGTAATTTTGGCTAACAGTACTGTACCATAGAATACTATAGTTTTATATACTACAGAACCGCATTTAAGAGTTATGCAAATAGAAGCAAAGACACCAGGTGGGAGTTTCCTTTGGCCATTTCTTGACCCTGAATAAATAGCACAGACATTATGTGCAAGTCCTCATTTAGCCACCAAGTCACTTAGTGGCCAGCTGCAGGAACAGGATTCAGATGGTAAGCCAGGCATGTCTGCATACACGCAACCACTTATTAGTCATTAGGAAAACACAGATTCAGTTGTTTCCTGCCTGCTAGAAGGGCTAAAGAAAAAAATGGCAATAACAAATGCTGGCAAGATTGCCTTAAATCTGCAGTCTCCGTGCATTGCTGCTGTGGGAAAACTTTTGGCAGTTCCTCAAAAATTAAGGGTTACCATAACCAGCATTCCTCTCAAAATGAAATCAGAGCCCTCTGCACACAAAAACGAGACATAAATGTTCCTGACATCATTTTTCACAGCAGCCAGAAAGTGGCAAAACCCAAATGCTGATCAGCGAGTGAGAACAGATTAAATGTGACATATCCTACAACGGAAAATTACTCAACAGCAAAGCCGAAAGCAGTTTTTCTCATTTCTTTTTGTATTCTACCTGTAAATATGTGCACACACTGTATGATATGTATATACATGCACCGTGAAACATTATACTAATTGAAATAAGGCAATAACAAAAGGACATCTACTGTGTGATTTTATTTATGTGCAACGGCCAGGATTTTACTTATGGGGAGTTAATACAGAGAGCAGGTCAGGGGTCACTGAGGCTGGGGGACGTGAGGACTGAAGAATGACTCATTTCAGGAATCTCTTTGTAGAATGAAGCAAACGTTCTGAATGCAGACGGGGTGGCAGTTCACTGTGGGAAGATACTAAAAACTTCTAAACTGTGCACATTGAAAAGGTGAACTGTACAGTACAGAACTGTGTCTTGAGAAAGGCATTGATTTAAAATGAAAGACATAAAAACATGAGGGGCTAGGGGTGCAGCTCAGCGACAGAGTATATGTCTAACATGTACCAGACCTTGAGTTCAACCTGCTGGACCCCCCACTCCAAACCACACTGTACACGGTAAATATACATGACTAAAACTCAATAAATAATCAGTAGAGTTACATGTATGAAAGAGGAGTACATGACCTGAGCCAGGCTGATTAGAGCTGGAAAGTTTCCAGGTGGAGCTGGCAAAACTGCTTCTTCCTCTCCCTTCCTCTTTCCCCCTCCTCCTCTTCCTCCTCTTCCTCCCCTCCCCTCCCCTTCCCTCCATTTTCCCTCCCCCCCAATACCAGAGGAGGTGACTCTGGAGCCGCTAGGTCTTTATTTCCTGATCCAGGAGAAGAGGGAAGGGGGGAGGGTAAGG